TTTGGAAATAGGGATAGAAGAAAAAACTTCCAGTTCTTCACTACGTTTTTATTAAAACCACATGCAGAAATGACCCACTGCTTCATGGAGTGCTGTAAATGGTGGGGAATAAGGAAAGAGAAGAAAGAATTTTTCTCATAAATTTATGATTTTAAAATAATATTTGTTTCATTTGTATAGCATTTCTGTTGTTTCCCAACATGCTGTGGACACTGCCATTAGAGAAAAATAAAATGTAATGTGATCACAGTGAAAATGTATTATAATTCGTGATGCTGTTAAAATTATGAGGAAGTAAGTGTGGACCGAGAGTAAGTTTTTGATGATCAAGTTATAAAATAAATGTTTGGAGATGACGGAATCATAGGTAACTTGTCTATACATGGAGTATAGGTGTCAAGTGCTATCGGTCTTAAAACTTTTACTATACACATATTTGGGATGTTATAGAACTCAGTGGCGTTTGAGGATGTGGCTGTGAACTTCACCGTGGAGGAGTGGGCTTTACTGGACCCTTCGCAGAAGAAACTCTACAGAGATGTGATGCGGGAAACCTTCGAGAACCTGGCCTCAGTAGGTATGCGTGACTTCATCTTCACCTTGTTAATTAGAGGTGAGGTGTTTGTTGCTTATCAACATTGTTCTAAGACAAGGAATGTGGAAACGCAGGACACATAAATAAACGGGATGGTCACAGCTCACCGCAGAACTAAAATCTAATAATTTTCCTATAATTTTTAATACTTTGAAATTATTTTTTGTGGTCTGCTTTTAGGAAAAAGAATGGAAGATTATGACATTGAAGATCAGTACAAAAACCAGGAGAGAAAACTGAGGTGAGTCACATGCACAGTATTAAGCCAGTGTTATATGAGGGTAACCTGGTATGCTACAAAATTTTAAAAAGAAGCAAACAAAAGAACCCCTTCAAATTTATTACATTTCTGAAAATTTTTTTACCAAATTACTTTCTTATATATCATATAGAGAGTTCGTGTTTTCAAAATAGTTCACTAGGAAAAAATACTAATAAACTCTATATGTGAATATTACTGTTTTGATAATTAAAAGGGTAAAGTTCTCTTGTGGAGAATTTAGTATCTTTAATTCAGCCAATTTAGGCAGCCGAAAACCTGCGCTTTTGCTATAAATCATAAAAATGTAGTTCAAATATGCTACAAAATGCTAAAATATTAATAGAGAATTCATGAACAATGTTCATCTGGATTTTTACAGAAGTCGTATAGAAGAGAGAATCTGTGAAAGTGAAGCGAGTGGTCAGTGTGAGGAAAACCTCAGCCTTATTTCAAATCTCAGTCTGAACAAGAAGAGAACTTTTCCTAGAGTAAAACCATGGGGACACAGTGTGCATAGGGAAGTCTTCGTACAGCATTCATCTTGTAATAGGCACATCAGATATCACACTGGACACCATCCCTATGAGTATCAGAAACATGGAGAGAAGCCGTATAAATGTAAGGCGAGTGTGAGAGCTCTCAGTTATCTCCAAATTTCTGAAAAACATGAACGAAAGCACAATGGAGGAGAGAAACCCTTTGAATGTAAGCAGTGTACTAAAGCATTCAGTCATCTCAGTTATCTTCAAAGACATGAAAGAACTCACACTGGAGAGAAACCCTATGAATGTAAACAGTGTACTAAAGCATTCAGTTGTCTCAGTAGTCTTCGAAGACATCAAAGAACTCACACTGGAGAGAAACCCTATGAATGTAAACAATGTGGTAAATTCTACAGAGATCACTTTTACTTACAAATACACAAAAGAATCCATACTGAAGAGAAACCCTATAAATGCAAGCAATGTACTAAAGCATTCAGGTATCTCAGTAACCTTCGAAGTCATGAAAAATTACACACTGGTGGGAAACCTTATGAATGTAAACAGTGTGGTAAAGCCTTCAGAGAGTCCCATTTCTTAAAAACACACGAGAGAACTCACACTGGAGAGAAACCCTACGAATGTAAGCAGTGTAGTAAAGCATTCAGTTGTCCAGGTTCTCTTCGCAAACACAAAAAAATTCACACTGAACAGAAACTCTATAAATGTAAGGAATGTGGAAAAGCCTACAGAGATTACTGTAAATTACAAACACATGAGCGAACTCACACTGGAGAGAAACCCTACGCATGTAAGCAGTGTACTAAAGCATTCAGTCGTCTCAGTCATCTTCAAAGACATGAAAGAACTCACACTGTAGAGACACTTTGTAAGTGTAAGGAATGTGGAAAAGCCTACAGAGATTACAGTAAATTGCAAACACACAAAAGAACTCACACCGGAGAGAAACCCTATGAATGTAAACAGTGTGGTAAATTCTACAGAGATCACTCTTACTTACAAAAACACAAAAGAATCCATAATGAAGAGAAACCCTATAAATGTATGCAATGTAGTAAAGCGTTCAGTTGTCCCAGTTCTCTTCTCAAACATAAAAGAGTGCACACAGGAGTGAAACCTTATGCATGTAAGCAGTGTGGTAAACCCTTCAGAGAGTCCCATTCCTTAAACATACACGAGAGAACTCACACTGGAGAGAAACCCTACAAATGTAAGCTGTGTACTAAAGCGTTCAGTTGTCCCAGTTCTCTTCTCAAACATAAAAGAGTGCACACTGAGGAGTGAATATAAATGTAAGGAATGTGGAAAAGCCTACATAGATTACTGTAAATTACAAACACATGAGAGAACTCACACTGGAGAGAAACCTTATAAATGTAAGCAGTGTAGTAAAGCATTCAGTTGTGTCAGTTATCTTCAAACGCATGAAAGAATACACACTTTAGAGAAACCTTATGAATGTAAACAGTGTGGTAAAGCCTTCAGAGAGTCCCATTTCTTAAAAACACACGAGAGAATTCACACTGGAGAGAAACCCTACGAATGTAAGCAGTGTACTAAAGCATTTCGTTATCACAGTTCTCTTCGCAAACATAAAAATAAATCACACTAGAGAGAAACCCTAAGAATGTGAAAAATAGACTCAAACTTTCAGGTGTTTTAGCTATCATCAAAAACATGAAAAATCAGACTGCAGAGACGTTCTGTGAATGTAAAAATGGCAGTAAAGCCTGCAGGGATTATATTTCCTTAGAAACACTCTAAAGAACTCATATTGAACAGAAACACTAAATGAAAAGCCTATGGATTTTACAGTTTCTTGCCAACACGCATAAAGACAGGAGAGACCCTATGAATTGAGCAATGTTGTAAAGCTTTCAGTTCTCATCTATGTTTCCAAATACATGAAAGAAATCTCAGTGGAGAAAAACTGTCGAATGTACAAAATGCAGTAATGCATGGTTATTCCAGTTATCTTGGTCTGCATGAGAGAACTCAACACTGGAGAGAACCAGATGAATGTAAACATTAGTAAAGCCATTATTTGTTACAAACCATTTGAAGACAGAAGAGTGCACACTGTAGACACACCATTTGAATGTTCGCAATGTGGGGAAAGCTTGATCATCCCAGTTTTTTCTGAAGGTATGAAAGTGGTCACTGGATAAAACCCGAATGTAAACAGTGTGGGAAAGACTTCAATCGATTCACATCCTTATAAGAGAAAATTCACCAAATAAAATATAAGTACCATGAAAAAACTTGATGGAAATTAAGCCACGTTTAATGTTCCAGAAAACTTTTCACATGAGAGTTGTTATTAAATGTCTAAATATGTTTTATTGAGCTTCTTTGCAAAGGGCATCGTTGGGATGTGGATTTTTACTAATTTATGAACTGATTATTGAGGTAATTCTGAGTTGTCTTTCAACTGTAATACATAAGATTAATAGGAATTGCATTTTCCTTAAATCGGTTATTATTTTTTCTTTCTCCTTTGAAATCTGTTGGATCCATGAATGAACTGAAGTATATTTGTAATATGCAATTAAGTTCAATTTTTATAATACTGTATTGTTTACATTTTAAGGCTCCATTTAAAAATGACAGTTTAGTATTTGGGTTTTCTTACTGGCCTAGTGACAGTTCCTGGATATGCCTAGTTCCCTGTATACATCCTAACTTTGTTACTGCCAAAGATTTCGTGGGGAGGGGGTGGCAGTTATAAGAGCATTTTTTATTTTCCATATCAATTCATTTGGAATAAGTTATGTATAATAAGTTTATGAAAGTATAATTTTTTTCTTGTTTCAGCCTTTCTTTTTTGTCCTTCCTTTTGACTGTATGTGGTGGATAGACTTTAACAATAGAGACCTGTCATAGAATAAATCTAGAATTGTAGGCATCCCCCTTCAAGGGTAATATTACAAATTAGATTTTTCAGAATTTATTCCCTTTATGGTTTCATGTTAGAATTCACCAAGAGCCTTGCATACATTTGGAAGCCAGAAGTTAAGAAAGAATTAATTATATTTTGAAGCCACCATATCAAAAGAAGGGCAGATATTTAGGAGCTTTGAAGAAATCATCTTTCAGCTAATCTTTCATATTCTTTGCTTTTCCTATTAAAAGTGTCCTCAACTTTTTGATTCCATTTTCTTAGAGGTGTGTGTTTTCACTGATGTTTTCACAAAATCCACATCAAAGATCCATCAAAGTCTGGATTTTTCTGTAAGACTTCTTGAGTAGTCCACCATGAAACTAACTCAGTTTCCTTTTTTGTGAATATGGTCTGAATCCCGTCTTCTCTAGATTACATACATATAAGACCTAATTTGTATAGGAAACACCTTATGCTGTTAAAAGTATTCCTATGTTTTTCTCATGACATCTACAATGGTTCATTCAAAAAGAACAACATGGGAGGTTGTTTCTTTGCTGCACTGGACAGTGGTTGCCTTTGTCTGGTCCTTCCATTTGAGAATAAGCACCTTCCTCCTGTCAGGAAGACTTGCTGTTTCCTGTCACTTTTAGCTCACTGTGATCCTTTGGGATGTTTTAAATTATGTTTGCTTGTATGTGATTAAATGTACGTGCTATTTTCTATCAAAGGAACACTTCTTCATTTATTTCTTAGAAATATTTTAAACTGTTTTTTAAGTCATCAAATGTTAACTAATGTGTTTTTCACATGTTGAGAGGATATGTGAAAATGTTCCATTATAACTGGATTTCCAGAAACTTTGCAGTCTTCTTGATTTAATCTTATATACATGCATATATATACACTCATATATATACATATATACACACATATATATATATAACATGGATGTGTCAATAATATGTGCATACAGTTTCAGGTGTTTTATTCAGACAAATTTTATTTGTATTCTTTTATAGTTGCAAATTTTATCATGAAATTTATTTTTTATTCTTTCTTAATATAAAGGCTCAAATCATGATTTTTATCAGTGCCCTCTTGCCAGTCACCCATGGGATCACACCTGTAGTCAAAAAGAGGGATGTAATGAATTCTAATGAGAATGACCACAAACTCTGAGTATTAGAGTAATGTGGTGCTGCAAATGACTTCTTATATGATTTTTGGCTTGTGTTTGAGAGTTCAATTGCTATTAAAGGAAAAAAGACATTTTTGTGTATTTGATGCTCAGGGAAGGTAGACCTTATTATCACTGGTGATCATAATCGTTTCCTACAAGGCAAAAACAATGTAGTGTAACTAAATTAGTAAGAAGCCCCAGTTAGTCATGTTAGTAAGAAGAGGGTTGGAGATATTAGTCATTTTGAGATTTAGAACTTTATTTTTTAACATTGTTAGGTATATGGTTACAAAATACACTTATAAATGTCTTAGTTCATCATGGTCAAAATGACCATGATGAAAAAAGGTGACTTTGCAGTGAAGGCGAAGTAACCAGCACCTGGTCCTTCACAACAGCTTTTGCATTTCCCTTGGCAACACAGTTTACCATAAAGTACTTCAGTTAAAATATATAAATCTGCTTCTGAGTATACTACATAATATTTTAAATATTTCCTCTTTGACTCAACTGAAGTTTATATGTTTAGGTAAATTTGAGAGAACAGAAACCTAGCCCGAGAAAAAAGGACCACTATCCCAATCAAGGCTTTCTTGCTCAGAGACTACCAATGTTAATGTTTCAACATCTCTCGTTGCCATGCACTTTCAAGTCAAAACACTCGATGCAGCACAAATTATCAAGGCGCTGGCGGATTTGGATATAGAGGCAGGAAACAAGTTTTTGCAATCCTGATGCTTATATTTTTATGGGAAAAGAGATCATTACAAAAGGTAAACGTTGGTTTATAAGATGGAAACAAAGGCTTTGAAGGAAAGTAAACGATGACATGCGAGAGGCTGGAATGTGTTTATATCTTTGCTGTCAGGGTAGGAGCCTCAGTGAGTGATGGTGTCAATGTTGGTAATTTGAATTTTTACCATGCAATGTATTTAAACACTGTTTCAGGAACTGCTTAAGTGTAGAAGTAAATAGAGCACAGCAAGAAAGTCCTGCATTCTTGTGATTAACAGGAAAGATTCCCTATAAAGATAAAGATATACTTATGGTTCATCTTCATTTTAGGAATTGAGTAGCATATAAATATAAAGGCAGATGTAGGCACAACATTGTAAAACTGCAAGTCATCAAAGTTTATTATTATTATTATTATTATTATTATTATTCAGAGACTACCAAAATGTGATTTGATAGTCACATGCAAATGACTTAAAACCTAAATCTTATGACAGCTCTGCATGATACCTTTAAGAAGGAAATGACATACAAAGTTAGCTAACTGTGCAAAATATAAAATTGCCAAAACATTTTAGTAATGAGATAATATGTGTGAATATAGAAGTTGACACATGAAGTTAGCATGGGTAACAAGCTTTGTTTTTCTATTTACTGTTACACAACAAAATTTATCACAGAAGACAAAAATCCATTTAAACAAAGTCAACAGGGAATTATCGAGCTACCTTCTCATAAAACACAAGATGACGAATGTGATTATCACTCCACTTGAGAAAAGTTTTCAATCTAAGTGAACATCATTTTTTTCCATTGAAGAATATTTTACAGAATTTTAAAAGGCAAGATAAATTCATGAAAAAATGTAGATACAAAAATGACACAAACTAATAATTTATATTTTAAAACCCTGAAGTGAAACAGTGGAGATGGGATAGTTCAGACAATAACTTTTTTTGAGAGAGAGAAGATGGCGGACTAAGTAAAAACAGGGTTCAACTCCTCCCAGGACCGCATTGAAATTACAACCAAATGATAAAATAATGTGGAGAATCACCTGAAGTCCAGCTAATCATAACACTTACATCTGATAATATAAAGGAGCCACATTGAAGGTGGTAGGAGGGGCAAAGTCCCGAATCAGGCTGGACCTGCACCCGTTGGTGGTGGAGGATCACCAGGAGGGAGAGCGAGGCTGCAGAGGCTCTCCTGAAGGAGAGGGGTTCCTGGTCTAGTCCGTGGGCTCTCCAGCCCAGGGAAGAGGAGATTCCAATAACTCTGACTGTAGAAACTAGAGGAGATTCTGGCCGCCTGGGTGAGACAGAAGGCGACTGAGCCCCTAGACGTCGAAAGACCTGTGCAAAGGTTTTCTTACCTGCGGACACTCACCCGGGACATTGGTGGTGGGTCTGATGCTCGAGTGGGATTCATTTCGAAATAGTCTCCATTACCTGGAGTCAGAAAGAGTGCTAGAAAGGCAGCCACCATTGTGCCTTAGTGCCAGCCCCCCTACAGACCACACCAGCTTGATTGTGAAGATCCCTTATACAGAGCCGTTAGGAAATGCTGGTCTGAGGGGATCAGCCTGCCCCGCCTAACCTTCAGACTGCCAGAGGCAGTTGTTTATGGTTGGCTGCCAAGCCCTGAGCTGAGTGATTCTGAGTGAAGTATTCACAGCGGGACAGCCATTGTGAGCAACGTTTCTAGTCTCAGCAACAGAGGCCATCGCTGTGAACCCCATTTCAGAGATAAGGTCAGACAGATCGCTGCTGCCAACACGAACTTAGGCAGATATCGGGGACTAGGGGGTCAGTCCCAGACAGCAGTTGGTCTTGCTGTGATCTGGGTCATCTACGGGAACTTAAAACAGTTACCAAATTTCCAGCAAGACTGAGGCTGTTTTGATCTGACAGCCAGTCTTTCTGAGACCCCGCCCAACCACCCTGCAGACTGCTTGGGGCAGGTATTTTTGGCTTGCTGCCAAGCTCAGATCCTAGTGATTCAGAACCAAGTGTTCACAGCTGAGCAGCCATAATTGTGAGTGGCCTTTCCAGTCACAGCAAAAGCACCCAACCCTGTAAGCTACATTTCACTTCCTAGCAGGCGACCAGTGCTATGAGCCACATTTCAACAGAAAACATGGCAGAAAGAGAGACGTCCTTAGGTATCTCCCCTTGAAACAGAAATAAGCTGTACATCTAAAACTCAACAAAAAGCACCTAAACTGTACACCAACATGTCTGAGCTTGGGATCTGGACATAAGAGCTACCACACGTACTATAAGGCATTATGTAAAGCAGGGATCCAAGAGGCTTAGACACCACCTACTGAAAACCAAAAGAAAAGTGCCTCCTTTGCAACACTACAGACAGACCTTTATATAATAAACCTTTCTGGAAAACAGCATAATATACTTCCATTAATGCCCAGGTGGAGAATTAGTCCATTAAACACCATGAACAACCAAAGTGACAAGGCATCTCAGAAAGAAAGAAAAATCTCCAGAAAATAAGCTTAGAGATATGCAACTTAAAAGACAGAGAATTCAGGATGTTACTTCTGAAAAAAACTCAGTGAGTTCTGAAATGAGTCATATCAACAATTTCAGGGAGTGAAAAAACAACTAGATGAGCAGAATGAGTTCTTTATCAAGGAGATTGAAACCCTCAATAAGAACCAAATAGAACTTCTGGAGATGAAGAACACACTAAAAGAGATGAAAAATGAAATAGCAGGCTTGGGAAGTAGTCGACCAAATGGAGGAAAGGATCAGTGATATCAAAGACAGAAATCTAGAAATAAATCAGAAGGAAGAAAAGAGAAACCAAAGTATGAAAAATAATGAAAGAGAAATACATGAACTAGCTGATACGATCAGAAGAGGAAACATAAGAATAATGGGCATTATTGAAGGCGAGGAAAAGGAGCAGGGACTAGGAAGCATTTTCAGACAAATAGTTGACAAGAATTTCCCAAATCTAAGGAATGAACTGGAGCTTGGAATTCAAGATGTCAACAGAACACCCAATCATCGCAACTTGAAAAGGCCTTCACCAAGACACCTTGTATTAAAATTATCAAAAATAATGACAAAAATAGAATTCTCAGGGCTGCTAGGGAGAAGAACGCAGTAACTTATAAAGGAAAACCCATTAGATTATTGTAGGACCTCTCAGCACTAAACTTACAAGCGAGAAAGGAGTGGAATCAAATGTTCAAACTATTAAGTGAAAGGAACTACGAGCCTAGAATAATGTATCCAGCTAAGCTCTCCTTTAGATATGAAAGAGAAATAAAAACCTCGCCAGAATACAAATATTGAAGGAATTCTCCACTATGAGGCTTGTACTACAGGAAATACTGAAAGGGATCAGCTCACCTAAAACAAAATGAGAGAAAAAGTACATAATTAGGAGAAAGGTGATTATCAGGCTGATAGAAGCAGAGGAGTGCAACCCTTACTAAGAACAGGGCATTATAAGTTTAAAAATAAGAAGAAATTTCCTATGGCAAGATAGTAATGAACGTTCAGCATACATAGAGTCAAATTTAGACAACAATGACTGAAAAGAGGAGGATTCTAAGATCCAAATTTGCAAAGAGGAATGGAGATAAGGCATGCACAGAAGAAAATGGGCGACTGTATATATATATATATATGTACATATATAACCTTTACATGTATGTAATGGTAATCATTTGCCAAAGATTCAGAACTGAAGTATATAACATAAACAAGAAGAACCAGAGAGAAAACCCACAGAAGCAAACCAAAGTAAAGAAAACAGAAACACAAAGACAGGGAGGTGATGGAAATACCAAGCTACCAAAAAGCAAAAGATAAAATGGCTATAAAAAGACCTCATATTTTAATAATCACCCTAAATGTAAATTGTCTGAACTCACCAATAAAAAGGCACAGAGTTACAGAATGGATCAAA